TGGCTCAGTGGAAGAGCCTCTGCTTGGCATGCAGAAGGTCCCAGGTTCAATCCCGGGCATCTCCAGTTCAAAGGATTAGGTAGCAGGGTCTCGGAGACCCCGGAGAGCCACTGCCGGTCTGAGTAGACAGTAGTGACCCTGATGGACCAGTGGTCTGATTCAGTAGAAGGCAGCTTCCATGTGATACTGTGCAAAATTGATTCTAAGTGTTGGGAGACATTCTTTTCTGCCCCGAACCCTGGAGAGGTACCGCACTGTCTTTGAGAAGGCCACTGGCTTGACTCGGGGTGAGTCATACGCAGCAGCCGGCTTCAGGAGAGTCATCGGTTACGGGAACTGCATAAAGCAACGTCACACACTCACATTCGATGCGGACGGGACTGATTAAACACCCACTTCTAATGCAGGAAGTACTGTCTGGGCCTGATCCCGACCCTGACACTTCCGGGGGGATATCTCAGGCTGAGGGGCTCGGAATGACTGTCCTGTGTTCGAGAGCCGCTGCCAGTCAGAGACAGCAATACCGAGATAGATGGGCTGTTGGGCTGACTGTGTGAGGTCGCTTGAGATGTTCTTACAAAGTGCAGTTACCTGGGTTAGGAATTGTGAGTTTTTGTTGTTGTTGTTGTTCAGTCGCACAGTCGAGTCCGACTCTTCGCAACCCCATGGACCAGGTCACGCCAGGCCTTCCTGTCTTCCGCCATCCTCTGAAGTTTGCTCAATTTCATGTTCGTTGCATCTATGACACTGTCTCATCCTTTGCTGTCCCCGTCTTCTTTGACCTTCAATCTTTCCCAGCATCAGGGTCTTCTCCTCCAGTGAGGGCTCCCTTCTCATTGGGTGGCCAAAGTATTGGAGCTTCAGTTTCATTATCTGGCCTTCCAGGGATTTCTTTTAGGATTGACTGATTTGATCTCCTGGCAGTCCAAGGGACTCTCAAGAGTCTTCTCCAGCACCATAGTTCAAAAGAATCTATTCTTCGGTGCTCGGCCTTCCTTATAGTCCAACTCTCACAGCCATACATGACTACTGGGAATACCATTGCTTTGACCATGCGGACTTTTGTGGGCAGGGTGATGTCTCTACTTTTTATCATGCTGTTTAGGTTCGCCATCGCTTTCCTCCCAAGGAGCAGGTGTCTTTTAATTTCATGGCAGGGTCCAAATCCAGACCAGGCATGTACCTAAGGTCATGCCTGGAACGGGAACTAGGATTTGGACGGGTGGTATCGGAAGGCACCGTCAAGTCTTCGCTGACTTATGGTGACCTTGTATGGTTTTCAAGGCAAGACGAAGAAGAATTGGATTTACAGCCAACCCTTCACTACCCGAAGGACTCTCAGAGCGGCTCACAATCTCCTTTCCCTAACCGCTCCCCACTACAGGCACCCTGTGAGGTAGGCGGGGCGGAGAGAGCTCTCTCAAGGACCGCTCTTAAAATAAAAGGGTTGGAACACTTTCCCTATGAGGAAAGGTTAAAGCGCTTAGGGCTCTTTAGCTTGGAGAAACGATGACTGAGGGGTGACATGATTGAGGTTTATAAGATTATGCATGGGATAGAGCAGATAGAGAAAGAGGTACTTTTCTCCCTTTCTCACAATACAAGAACTCGTGGGCACTCCATGAAATTGCTGAGCAGCCGGATTAGAACGGATAAAAGGAAGTCCTTCTTCACCCAAAGGGTGATTAACACTTGGAATTCACTGCCACAGGAAGTGGTGGCGGCTACAAGCATGGACGGCTTCAAAAGGGAATTAGATAGGGAGCAGAGGTCCATCAGTGGCTATGAGCCACAAGGTA